CTTCTGCTTTCTGTTTGTTACATGAGTCTGAATCTGTGCCTGCCTGTAAAAGGCTGGCTTGTAAATTTCTGTTCATGTGTCTGTGCCTGTCCCTGTATGCGTGACTGTGTCTTCTGTCTATGCATTTCTTTTCCTAATAAGGGGCTTCATTCTGTCTTTATCAAACAGTCTAAAAAGCATCCCATGGGAAATGAATGAGGGATATTTCACAGAAATCTTTAACAGAGTTTTACAAGGATGGAGTCACTCCAGCTGACCCAGACTACAAGCATCATCATTTACCAAGCAATATCCCTAAATGGTTGCTTTCCATCTTTGTGATAGATTTTACAAAGTTGCTTTCAACTTCTGTATTTGCTGCTTTCAGCAGATAATACATGTGCATAGCCTACGTCAGGGCCACAGAAGAGCACATAGTTTGAGATTACAGCTGTGCATTAGCTTAGGTTGCAAAAGATGATTACACGGGAAATCCAAGGCAAGTCAAGTTGGTTATTACATTGTTCTCTTAAAAACAGATGGTGCTGAGAAGCCAAGCTGAGACTTAGATATTAGTGGGTTGGTTCTGCTCTCTTGGCAAGGTGTCATGGTCCTTGCAATGGCCTTTGAGTTGAGCCTCGTTATGTGTTATTGTCATAGTTAAGGTTTCTAGTGCTGTGATATAACACTATGACCAAAAGAAACTTGGCGAGAAAAGGGTTTCTTTCACTCACAGTTCCTTATAACAGTTCATCATCAAAAGCAGTGAGGGCAGGAACTCAAACAGGAAAGTATCCTGGAGGCAGGAACTGACTCAGAGGTCATCGAAGGGAGCTGCTTACTGGCTTACTCCTTATGGCTTGCTTGGCCTGCTTCCTTATATACCCCAGTGCCAGCACCATCATCCCGGGACCGGCACCATACACGATTGACTGGCTGCCCCCTGTCAATCACTAGTTAAGAAGATGCTCTCCAGGCACGAGCACATGGAGACATATTCTCAGTTGAGGTCCCCTCCTCCCAGCTGACTTTGGTTTGTGTCAGGCTGACATAACACTAGCCAGCACAACTGACCCTGTCAACTTGATGTACAAATGTATCTCTTTTCAGTTAGTATCTGTCCTTTCTCTTTTATCCCCAATATGAAACATTAATACTAATATCACAATATAAAACATAAATTAAATAAATTAAAATCTAGATCTTTATAAATTCAAACACATTAAAAGTTCGGTTAGAAATCCTAAATCCCTTTTGAAAGTTCAAGTCTTTCCACTGTGGGCTCCTATAAAAATCAAAATTAAGCTAAATGCGTTCTTAATTTAAGAAGAAAGAACTAGGGCACAGTTACAATCTGGGGAAAAAAGCAAAACCAAACTCCAGCAGTGTAAATAGCTCAATGTTCAATATCTGGGATCCACTCACAATCTTCTGGGCTCTTTCAAGGGGCCTGGGTGACTTCTCTGGGCGTGTGTCCCCTGCAGCATACACAGTTTGTCTTCTAGGCTCCAAGGTGCCACTCTACTGCTGGTGCTCTTGGTGGTTATCCCACGGTTCTCGAATCTCCAAAACGCTGGGGTCTTCTGCTGTACTTGGCTGCACTTTCACCAATGGCATCTCTTAGGCTCTCTTTATGGTGTCGAGCCTCAACTTCTCTGCGGCGCCCGCCACAAGCAACTCCGAGGTATCAGGAAAAGAAAGTCCAGCTGTTTTTACTAAGAGAATGTATGTGCTGCCTTTATTGCCAGGAGAGAGAGTGTGTGTATGTGTGTCTTTATTTTGTAAGTGTTAAGAGGTCTCTTTCTTGTAGGAGGGAGCAGTCTTATATATAGTCTTACAACACAGTAGAAAAACCCCAGGTGGAAGAGAGCTTGTTTTCCTCCTGCTAGATGTTGATGTCAGTGGGGCAATGTGGGGCAGTAAGCCAGGACTAGAAAACAGGATGCACCTGTGGTTATCAGCTGACAAACAACTCAGAGACCCTGTGGGGGCTAGGCCCCAACACTTCTCTTCATGACCCCTTCAATCCTGGGCCTTCAACTGCAACTGAGACTGCACTTTTAGCCATGGCCTCTCACAGAGCCAAGTTTCAGATGTTCTCCATGACCCTTCAAAACAAGTTCCATCTGGAAGACTCTTATACAATACCAAGTTTGGCTGCCAGAGTGAGGTACAATCTAGGCTGCTTCTGGAACTCAGCTTCTGTGTGCTCTTGTGAAACACTTTCCAGATGACTTCATATCAATGAAGTTGGTCTATTAATCACTGCTAATTTCTCAGCTCCAACTACCCAGCATCGACTGTTTCAGTAACTCAAAGGTTTCACTGGTCTCTTGTTAATCATAGTTGACTCTTCAGCCCCAGCTGACCAGACAGCACAGATTCTTCACAACAATCACCCCAAAGAGTCTTTGGTTCACCATGAAACTTCACAAGCTAGGCCTCCATCATCTGTACTGCTCTCCATGTTTTTATCTTTCAAGATACTACAGAACAGCTCACTAAGCACAAAACATGTACACTGTTTTGCTTGCACAAAGTTTCCAAAACAACAGGTCTGTCACAAAAATACCCAGCAATACTGGTACTAACTTGTCTTGGGGTTTCTAAATTGCTGTGGTAAAGCATCATAACCAAAAAGCAAGCTGGGAGTACGGTGAGACTGTTATAGACTCTGGGGACTTTTATAGTTGGACTTAATGCCTTCATGCATTATGATATAGTTACAAGTCTGTGTGGGCCAGGGAGTGGAATGTGGTGGTTTGAAAGAAAATGACCCCCACAAACTCAAAGTGGCCCTATTAGGAGGTGTGACCTTGTTGAAGTAGGTGTGGCTTTGTTGGAGGAAGTATGTCACTTAGAGGTAGGCTTTGTGGTCTCAAATGCTCAAGCCCTGTCTAGTGTGACATTCACATCCTGCTGTCTGCCAATCCTAGTGTAGAACTCACAGTTGCTTTTCCAACACCATGTCTGCCTCCCCACAGTCATGCTTCCAGCCATAATGATAATGGATTAAATCTCTGAAACCGTAAGCCAGATACAAGTAAGTTTTTTTCCTTTGTAAGAGTTGCCTTGATCATGGTGTCTCTTCAAAGCAATAGAAACTTAGGTAAGACAGGAAGAAACAGGTTTATTTAGCTTACAGTTCCATATTGATGTTCACCATCAAAGGAACTCCAAAAGGCCAGGAACCTGGGGGCAGGAACTGATACAGAGGCCATGTAGAGGTTCTGCTTACTATATTGGTTCACGTGGCTTGCTCAACCTGCTTTCTTATAGACCACAGGACCACCAGCTGAGGAATGGCACCACCTACAATAGGCTGCCTTCCTCCTCAGTTGATACTTAAGAAAATGCTCTACAGGTTGCTTTCTCACAGATGGCTTTAGCTTGTGTCAAGTTGGCATAAAACTAAACATGACAGGTGCTCTGATAGGCTTAATTCTTCATCTACAAGATTTACAGTACTGAACCTCCCTCTAAGGCTCAGTTTCCTTCCCTGTCTCCTCCATCTCAGCTCCTTAGGACCTTGTCACCACTAGCTTGCAAAGGCTTTTCTCCAGTCTAAGCATAAGCACTGGCTCCCAGTGAGGTATTAATCTAATTAATCTCATCAATAAAATATAGGAGTCAGATATTGGGGTAAAAACCTGAAAGATAAGAGAAGCTGAGGAACAGCTACGGTCACCTCTTACCTCTTCAATTCCATCCAAAAGGGCTGAAATCCTCCCTCTGTCTGGTCTTACTACTTCCTGTCTCTTCTCTCTACAGTCCTCCAAACCTCTATGGTTAGCTAGTGGCTAGCTCCACCCTCTGACTCCAAGCAAGCTTTATTTGTCAGAACACAATCAAAATATACAACACCTCAGTGAGGCTGATCACAGCCTCAGCTAGAGGTAGGCTCTCACCACCTTGAGGCCACCTGTCACTGCACTTATCATTTCTATTGTCATTGCTTGCTCACGGGCACATCACTGTAAGTTGTTCTCATCTTTAAGTCATACCCAACACAGAGTTACTGTTTAATTAGCACGGCTGAATAATTCTTGTCTTGTTGAGTACAGTATTCCTTTTGTTACTTTCCTTTGCCCCAAAAACAAATTTCATGAGCTATAGCTCTTCCAGTAGAGATAAGGAAATCTTGGCTTTAAGTCATCATTCATGTTTAATTTATTCCTAATATAATTGATGATTTAGATGCTATAGTTACTGACACATAAAATTGAGGCTTAGTGAGTCCAGTATTGTAAGCCTTGTAATTGTCTGAAATCTGGTACAGAAACTCAGAATGTCAAGAAATGTAGAATTAAACCTACTGGTCGAGTTCTATGGGGTAGGACAGAACAGTAACAAGGCATCTGAAGACAGCATATAACGAACACAACATGGGACGTGGCAGCCAAATGATGTGAGGTGAAGCAGTACAGAGAAAAAGAGGGAGAAGACAACATTCAATATAACATGAAAAGTGGTAGCCAGCCATTGTGGGGTGGGATAGGGCAGTGTGGGAGAATAGAAGGCATCATACAGCCAACGTGGCATGGGAATGGTGGTCAAACATTGTGGTGGGTGAGGCAATGAAGGGGAACAAGAAAACACTTGACATGACATGGGACATGGCAGAAAAATACTATGGTGGGGCGGAGAGATGCAGAGAACACTGGATTCCTAGAGCAGAGGACTGGGTTTGGCCAGGCTGCATGGTAGAGAGTGCCTGGTGCTCAGGTAGCCTGGTTATGTGTCTGGATCTCTGTGTGGAAGCTTGAAAAACCATAAGGACTGGGGGTTCATATGTGGTAAAAACCCAAGTTGTGAGGGGAAATGAGTGGAGGAGAATCTTGGGCACCCAGGCATATAAAGGATGGAAGAGAGAAAGTGTCCACGGAGACCACTGCAATGGAGAGGGAAGACAATTAAATATGAAGACCAGGTGCTGTCCAGCCACTATATAAGTTCCTAGAAAAATTAAAAATATAGTTGGGTGTATACTCCAAAGAATTTAAGTCAGCAAACCACAGAAGTACCTACACATCCATGTTTATTATGACACTACTCACAATGCCACATTATTAAATTAGACTAGGTATCTATTAAGAGATCAATGGATGAAAAAACGAGTAAAGTGTGCACAATGGGATATAGTCAGTCAGAAGGAAAAATGAAATAATGCCATGTACTGGGAAATGGATGGGACTGGAGAACATATTAAGCTAAGTAAGTTAGACTAAGAGAGAAAGATGTCATACACTTCCCCTCATGTGTGAAACGGAAATTTTAAAACACAGATATAAAAGCAGTAAAGGGATCACTTGGGGACAAGAAGACAGGGGTTGAAGAGACAGGAATGTGATCAAAATACATAGTACACGTGTAAGGAAAATACTAGAGTGAAGCTCCCATTTTCGATAAGCAGAACAATTACAGAAAAGGAGGTTATAAAGTGTCACAGGCACATGGAGTAGATGCAAACAGGAAAGCAGCCAATGTTTTAGTAGTGAAGTATGGAGTGCTGGTTGTAGAGGCATGAAAATTCAATTTCCATTAATTAAAGAAGAAACAAGTCTTGGAAACAAATATAATGTACTCCCTCTGTCCTGGAAAGATAAAAGCATTGCAGTGGTCAGGGTGGCATGCCAAGTCAGGGGACGATCACTCTAGTTAAATATGAAAACGCAGAAATCATTTACTGAGAAAACCTATCTGGTAGAACAGTTTTCTTCTGGCAATGCCCCTGCCTCAGCGTTTCTCTTCTGTTCTAGCTTCCTCGCCCTGCATCCATCTTCAGCAGTATCTCCTCCCTCTGATGATGCAGTGGCCAAATGCCCCAGCTTTCCTGGCCGTCTGAGACATGACCTATCCCCTGGCAGAATGCTGGCAATCTATTTCTAGACACAAAGCCACATTTTAGCAAGAGATGCAGGCTGGCGCCTCTTCATCCCGGTCCTTTTGTTCAGTGTTGCCTTGGGGTTTTCAGGGTAGACAAATCAGAGAGAGTGGAAGTCCTCTGGGGAGTACTTAATGCCCAAACCCTTGGTGTTCATCTTCCTAGAAGTCACCCTTGTCTGCCATTGAGCAATGACCCCAGTGGGGACAAGTTCTGTGTAAGCCCAGCTGAGCTTGGACCTACTAAGGAGCAGTTTTTAATTCATTTTAATTAATTTAAATTGAAACAGCCAATTGCTACCCCATTGTGCCACTGACCGTTAGAACCCCTAATCCAACCCGACTTCTACTCAGTACCTCCACTCTCAACCCTAGCACCAGAGTGACATCCTGAGCCTTTCAGAATGCTACAAACCAGATCCCCAGGAGGATCCGGTCCCTGTCCCTGTGCACTGGATGGATGGTAAGGGGTGGCACTGCCTCTCTCCAAGGGGAACCACGAAGGACAATTAACGAGAGCTGAGAGTGAGCACAAAGATGTGCTGGGGTCAAGATAAGACCCAAGGCTATGAACATAAAACAAATGGAGGTAGATGCGGAGCAGGAAATGAAGGAAACCAGACAGCACTGTCGACTTCGCACTCACACAAAATCCCAGCAAGCTCCCAAATTTCCCACCCCTCCCTCCTTCCTCTCATTGCTGTCAAATTGGTAGAAGGACCACCGAGCATCTCCTAGTGCACACTCCTCATTTGCTAGATGAGTGAGCAGGGTGCAGATGACTAGAGTCATAGATTGAACTTGAACCAGAATCAGGAGACCGAGTCCTTCTCACTCTCAACCCATGTCCCCTCTCCCCCACCCCCAACCAGCTCTCCTAAAGGAAGCTAGAGCGGCCCCGGAAGAACTGCAGATAGATAATAACCAGGCAGAGGACACCCCAAAACAGACACCAGCGAAATGAGAAGAAGTTGTAGACAAAAATGCCCTGGGCTTTCCTCTTGGAGGCATCGGTATAGGAGGCGTCCTCCTCCAGCAGCTTCTCGCTGGGCTTCCAGTGCACGATGCCTTCCTGGCAGGCCTCGCAGAACTCGCTGCGGTGCAGCCCGCTGTCCGGCCGGCTGGCCACGTGGATGCGGTACTGGCCACCATCTTCGTCGTAGCACTGCTCGCGCAGACTGGTGATGAGGTTGTCCACCAGGCCCTCGATGTTCTCCTCCAGCATGCTCGACTCATCCAGCCGTGAGGTGCCGCACTGGTAGCACAGCTGCTTGAACACGCGCATGCGCACCGAACCAACCCTCTGGGCACGGTCTAGGTGCATGTGGAAGAGGATGACTACATTAGCAGACTGCCAGGTGTGCCAGCACCAGGAGCAGTGGAACCTGCCAGGAAAGGAAGGAGGAACGGAGCAGGTGAGACTCACGGACAGCCTGCCCTGCTGAGAACAGGCGAGAAATGGCCAGAGTGTTAGAGACTGAAAATAAATGGAGGCCCCATGTTTACCAGAATGTGGGTTCGTTATCCCTGGAGGTCACCAGCTACCACCTGCTCGTGGTGGTCCCCCGATGTAATGATATATTGTTTGTAATCAAATAAACCTTGCTTGAAGATCAGAAAAGCAAAGAAGACAAGTCACTAAGGAGTTCTTACCTCTACCAAGGCTAAAAGAACAACCTTGTCTCCACCGAGAACCTCAGACTGCTCCTGAGACTGCGCTGAGTTCCTGTCTTGCATTCTCTCTAGTGTGAGGATTAAAGGCATGAGCTCTGTTTCTCTTCTAGACTGATTCACTCTCATGTAGCCCAGGGAGGCTTTGAACTCACAGAAATCCATCTGCCTCTGTCTCCCCAGAGCTGGATTTAAAGGTGTGGCCACCACGCCTGTCCTCTATGGCTAGCTAGTGGCTCAGCTCTGCACTCTGATCTTCAGGCAAGGTTTAGTCGCTAGATTACAATTTATCACTCCACCCTGGGGACCAGAGTAGCATACTTAGGAGCCTAGCGCGGCCGTCTGGAAGCTGCCTCCTGTGTACCCTCCTATAGTTTCAGCCCTGCCCCTGACCTATTACAGAGCTGGTCAACCTCAAAGAAAGCATGGCTCCTCTTCCCTGGCACTCGTTTCTCATTTGCTGGCTGCAGTGTGATGGTGTCCATGCTGGACTTTGTACTCAGACATCCCTCTGAAAAGGGGGCAGCAATGTCACTGTCTGACTCCTGAATCGTGCTTACTCTGAGGAGATGGCATGCAACCTCAGATCCTAGCACACTGTAGGGCTGCAGGAAGCTAACCAGAGAAGCAGGGTAGATTGGCAGCCTGCATCAGACTGGATCACAAAGAACGCTACTTTCAGTTCTCAAGTCTTCCCCGAGGCACTCCCCTTGATGAGTCATCCCCAGGTACTGTGAGAGAACAGGAAAAGTAGACTTTGTTTCCTTACATACCTACCCCCCAACCCAACCTTCCCACAGGCCACTTTGTCTAATCTGGACTCAAAGAGCCACAGCCTCAGAAAACTGGAGGGTGGTGGCCTGGGGCACCCTTGCCAAGCCACACCCCTCCTAGCCTCCCAAAAGTGTTAACATGTGATGGACCACTCTTAACTCCAGGGTGGCCCCTTGTGCCCCTGCAATGGCCTCTTGTACGCCCCTGTTTCTAAAGGCTTCAGAGGCGTTGCATGTCCACTAGGCTGTTTCTGTCCTCATCGCCAGCTCTGCCCAAGTCCATTGCACAACGGCTTCAAAAGGACCTGTGATGAAGGACTCAGTTCAATCCAGCTGGCACCAACTGTATTCTAAGCTCCACTCAGCCACTGTGGAACAGCAGTGAAAGCAAGACAGCCTCTGACCCTGGAAGGTGCTGACAATGTGAGCGTAGAACAACCCCCAGCGCCTCCCAAGACTTGCTCAAAAGGGAAGAGGAAACTGCTTGGTCCTGAATTGGAAGGCTTCCACTCACCTCCCCATCCCTGTCCGGGGCTGGGACTATTGGGCCCCAGATTTAACACAGCTGAAAGATGAAAAGCAAAGAACCTGCACAGGATGGCTGTGCTTTGGTTCTTCCTGAGGCCAGCTGGTTCTAAGCCCTGAGGGGAGATCTGTGAGCCTTTGGCACTGTCCCTGGACCCCAGAAGCCCCCCATGCCCATTCTCAGCCTTCTGCACATCCTTCGTGTTTTCAGTCCCCTGTATCTTTTTAAATAAGCCAGTCCAGGATTATTTCCTCTCTCTCAAGCCAAACCCCACATCTCCAGAAGTATCCAACACAGGCAAGTGTGGGGATCACAGACCCTGGCCAGAAACCCACCCCTCCATCAGCCTGGGAGCAGGCAGCTGCGAGACAATGTTTACTGAAAACAATCCAGTGCCCTAAGCTCCCATGGCTAGCTACTCCCTGCTGTTCCCAATTCTGGTGTCAGAGATTTAACCACCAGCCAGGAGGAAGGAGAGGGGTGTGAGAGGTGTGTGAGAGGGCTGTTGGAGATTTGTGCATATATGGATGGCAGAAGCTTTTTCTGAAGGGAAGCGTTTTTCTTGGGAAGTTCTCCTAAGCCGATCTGGGGAGCATGAAGTTTTTTTAACGCAACCGACTGGTCTCTGTGTCATCAATCTCAACCACCGTGCCACATTCTTGGATACAGGCTGCGCAGGAGGCGCGGCAGGTGAGCATTGGGGAGAGATGAGACAGAGGTGTAGGAAATAAGAACTCACACAGCTAATCAGAGAGAGAGCCAGCACTCAGTGTCCTTACCAGGCACCAACACAAACCTATCAACCTCTGTTCTCTGGCCTATGGCAACACAGGTTGCATCTACTAGTTTGCAAGACCTGTGGTAAGGCTGCAGATGCCCACTGCCCACCCACAGCCTGACCCTTTTTTCTGCTCCCACCCCTCATGCTGTGCTCTACCCAAGAGGCTTCACACCCATCCACTATGGACAGGCCAGTCTCTGCCATGTTTTGTTCACACCTCCACAACACAGCCACCAGTTGGTCTCATGTGAATCCAAATGCCCAAAGAGGAGGACTAACCAGGAGGACTGGTTAGCTCCTGCAGGCGGCCCCAGTCCCAAATCGCCAGTCTGTAAGAGGGAAATGATGTCAGGGCTCTAGAAAGCCTCAAGGACACCTTGCATGGTGGGAAGTGAGGAAGGCTTAGAAAGTCGAAAGTCTCTGTTGTCTGAGGCAGGGGCGAGAGCTGGCCCTGTGGTCATAAGAGCGGGAGAGCCATCCCTGACCCCTACCAACTGCAACACTCAGGGGAGCAGGCCCTGCACCTCGCCAGGACAGCACAATAGAGCCAACCCTGTTAGCACAGGTGTGGGTGAGCCAGCCCCGAAATTCTGAGCGTGCGAGAGCTGGTCCCATTACCCATATGTCTTGTAGTGGCATAGATAGGGGAGAGTTATTCCCTCCCCCACGGCACCCATCAATGCCTGGGGCAGCTGGGAAAGTTGGTCCTGTGGTCGTAAGAGCAGGAGAGCCAACCCTGTTATTGCAGGTGGTGGGTCAATCCTACAGCTGCCCAGGCCTACACCCAGGGTTATGACTTGGCCCGCACCAACATCCACCCGTCTATGATCTGCTGGAGCACATAAAAAACCTGACCCACAGACCCGAAGCTGCAGGATCTCCACAACACAGGACAACAGCAGAATATCCAAGAAGGGTCCTAGTGAGGGCCCAGCATCAATATTGTAGTAGAAACCAGAGGCCTCCAAGCAGACCAGTGACTCTTTGCAATGAACACTTACACATGAAGATATATGGACAAAGAGGTTTACAGTGTAGCTCACTGTATCACACTGCAGTTTCCATGATGAGATTTTTGATTTTTCCTTTTATCTTTTAAATTTTGTTTTATTAGGGGACACAGGGGTGGAGGGTGGATGCAAGGGGACAGGGAAAAGAATGGGATCAAGACAGATGATGTAAAAGACATAGAATAATTTTTAGATACTTCATAAAATAAAAAGAAAGAGAGGGGAGAGGAGGGAAGAAAGGAAGGGGAAGAAAGAAAGAGAGAAAGAGAGAGAAAGAAAGAAAGAAAGAAAGAAAGAAAGAAAGAAAGAAAGAAAGGAAGGAAGGAAGGAAGGAAGGAAGGAAGAGAAAAGTCAGGAAGTGCTGCCTGGGGTCAGCAGTTTTATTACCCATCCACAGATAGTAAAGTTGGAAGGAATTTGAGTGTTGTGCTAAGATGAACTAAGATGAACTCCTTATTTTGTAAATATGAAAACTGGAAGCCAGAGAAAGAAAAGGACACGCCCAAGTCCAAGGAGCTATGGAACCAGGTTCTCAAACATGCCATGCGCTCGGTGACTTATTCTGTCTTCCAGTCTCATTGCATTTGACTGAGCAGACAGACACCAGAGCCCCAGAGCACAAGTCCCCCGACTCCCAGGTTGAGACCTCTGGCAATCCCATGACATCTCCTCTCCATCCCAACTACACCGAGCACCTGGACTTTCGGGGCAATGAAGCATCACTACTCCTGGTTTGCTGTGGAAAACTGAGACCCAAATGCAGAGCACAATTTGCTCAGGGTAACCGAGGAGTCTGGACAGCTGTGATTAGAAGCAAAGCCTCTGTGGCCGTCGTCCGTTCTCTGCTGGTCACCTGAGCTGACATAGAGGTGAGTCTGTGACCCCTCCCCCTTGGGGGGCACTGCCTGCACGACCCTCCCACCAACCTCTCACCTGCCTGAGGCATGCTGCTCTAGATACTGCTTCCAGCCTGGGCCCAGCTCGTTGGGCTTGAGGTTGGGGTCTATGATGAGCTCCCAGCTGTCAGCTGGCTTTGCCACCTCCATCTTCTCATAGAAGACTTTCTTCCACTCGCAAGTGGTCAGACTGGTGGACATGGTCCGGTTGGCCTGGATGGGAATGTGAGCTCAGTCTGAGGGAGAACTCGGAAAGCTTGGATAGTTGCAGCCCAGGCAGTCTCTGTGGTCCAAAAAGGCTTACCCACAAGACCCAGCTCCCTCTTTTGTCACCCTGGAAGCTGTTGCTATGACAGCCAGGCAGGTACCAGGAGCCAGAGCTAGGGAGGAGGAAAGTCCCAAGTGGGAGCTCCAGGGTCCTGAATTAGACCATAGAGGTGCACTGAGTAGCAGTACTGACCAAGTGGAAAAAGACAGTAGGAGATGAGTCTCAGTCCAAAGTGCCCAGGACTGACAGAGGTCCCAGAAGACAAAGGCTATGCAGTGTCCCTGGTCACACCACTCCTCTTCCCCACTTTCTGCTTCTGTGTGCTATGGTAACCATAATTCCCTGGGGAGCCTAGGAGAAACAGGATGGAGACCAGGGACCTGATGCTCCCACACTCCTGTTGCCCTGTGACCACTGCTCATTGTGTGCCAGGCACAAGCTACTTGACCCATGCATTAGCCAAGGCAGACCAGGAAACAGGCTTATATAACCTCCAAGAGCTCACCCACCATTCAGATTCAGGCCTTCCTAAACGATACCTAACCCTTTAATTATTGCAAGAGTATTAAACTCCTAACAGTGATTAAGAGAGTAGTGGCATGCAGCTGTTCGATGGAGAATTCTCAATCCAGGTGCTGAGATAGAGGCAATGTAATACACCATGAAAAGCACAATGATGGCAATTCAGACTACAAGGTTGCAACATCCACTCCCTGCTCCCAAGGCTCACCAAGGCTGTTGGGATGGGAATTAGTTCCTTCTGAGATTCAGGCTACAGCTACCTCAGCTACTGCAGAGCAAGCAACAGAGCACCTCAGCTCCCTGATGCCCAAGTTAAATTCTTTAGAGATCGGAGGGGCTTAACTTCGTGTTTGCATAATCCATGGGAAGGTGACCCCTACCCACAAAGGGGAGGCAGTCTTAGGCAGGGAGAACACCAGAAGGTGTGGGGTTATACCTGAGCTCTACCCAGAGCGCTGTGAGGTTTCTGTAATGCTTGTAGTCCAGTTGTAAGTTCTTTAACCCAAAGCCCCCCCCCCATGGAGAAGGTAAAAGTGGGCAGACTAGGAAGGGTTGCAAGGGACTGGGAGTTATCAGTGATGCAGGATTCCAGATTTGTCACATGTCTCCATCTGGTTTCCATGTGGTAAGTATAGGAGCAGTGCCACTGGGTGTCCTTCAGAGAGGAGAAGTGGTCTTCCAGTAGCTTTGTGTTAACAGCCTCAGAAAAGATGAAGCTGTGTTGTAAAGCCATGAAGAACTGGTTTCTAGTTTCTCCATTGGCCTCAACTCAAATCCCAATACCCCATCCCTCTTTTCCTTTTCCTTTTCTTTTTCCTTTCCTTTTTATTTATTTCCTTTTTGAAAATGTCTCACTATGAAGCTTGGCTGACCTAGGACTCACTATGTAATCCACACTGACCTGGAACTCACAGAGATCCACCTGCTTCTGCCTTCCAAATTCTGGGAGTAAAGACGTGCGCCACCACACCCAACCCAAATCTCTTCATAGTGAATCAGAACTGCTGAGGCCTAGAAATGGGTAACTTCTGCCAAAAGGAACCCTGGGCTGGGTGGCTCACTGGGACTGTCCAGTAATCAGCTACAAAGTAGGTGACCTGCAGGACCCTTAAATGCCCAGCAACTGAAGGAAGCCGAGAGATTTGGCCTGGCCTAGGGCTATATGCCATGGTCTGGCTCTGAGACATACTGTGCCATTGTTCCTAGACCAAATGGCAGTGAAGGAAAAACAAAGGGACAATGAGAATTGCCAACCAAATGGCAATGAAGGAAAAACAAAGGGACAATGAGAATTGCCAACCAAATGGCAGTGAAGGAAAAACAAAGGGACAATGAGAATTTCCAGGGTTCATCTGTTTTGCTTTGTTTTGTTTTTCTCTCCGATGATGCAATCCCCTTAGGCACAGGATCACACTTAAATTAGAATGAAATCCTCCAAGCAGAGGCCAACTCCATTCACTTTTCTATACAAAATGCTCTTTGCCCTGGAAAGTCTTTCTTGGGTTATCATCAATGAGTGTAGAAATTGCTATACAATGAGGTAGCAGCTGCTACCTCAGTCTTCTCAGTGAGGTGCTGGCTGCACCATTAAAAAGCCCTCCATGTGAGTGCATTGCTCGCTGGCAACTCACAGTTCCAAGTAACCTTATCATACTCTGGGTGATATTCTTTAAAAATGAACTAATTTTAGTCTTAGTAAAATAGCACTGTCCACCCCTATCCCACAAGCAAAATAGGCCACTCTTGTACTTTTATATGGACTGTCAACTAATAAGCACTTTTGCAAAATGTCCATTATTCAGACTTTACTTGTAAGAATACCATATGACACATCAGAGTAGAACCTAACATGACAAAGCAATGAAGAGCTGGGGAAGTATATAAATCAAAATCATCTGGGAACCGCCTCCTGGAGAGTTCAGCACATGCTCTTCAGGGAACACGGTCACCCTCCACCAACTCCGTGCTGGGCTGAATTATTCTGCCACAGCTGGTCATTGTTACTGATGGACATGTGCTAACCCATAGGATACCAAAAGTTCAAGTAAAATAACTTTACAGTGTAGTGAGAAGTCACGAGAGTGTGTTAAAGGGTCTCAAGAATTTATTTAGGTACTGGATAGGGACAAACACTCACTGGTACAGAAACAATTGAACGCCACGGATTATTCAGCTGTCTTCATCCAGTGCTTCTGCCCAGGGGTGAAGAGCACCAGCAAACAGCAAGCTGCCTGCTTCATTCCAACCACCCAAGGGACAGACAGACAGACAGACAGACAGACAGACAGACAGACAGACAGACAGACAGAGACAGAAAGAGATCATCCCCCTCAGCTTTTAAGTTGCCTCATAGGCAGACAAGACCACACCCTGGGGCTTGCTGCCCCAAAAGTCATTGACTATATGGATTAAAATCCCACAAAATAAAGGCTTATGATATTTCTAAACAAATCCAGGGAAACAAAAGCTGTACTATACCTTCCTGTCTCTAAGTTCAAAGAACCTTCGAAGGTCCTTGATGGACCCCTTTGGAGTTATTTTGGAAGGCTTCTCCATCTATAGACCACAGCACTCAGTTCACTGAGACCCACAATCCACTCTAGGTGGAAGTGACCTTTGAGTGTTAGGGTAGTTCACCCAGTCACAAGAGTTCGCAGGCATCCAGCAGCGATGCCTACTGAGGAAGGCATGTTGCCCACATTGGACTTTCATTGGTGAGCAGCAGCCAGGGCAAACAGGAGCCAGCCAAATTCTATCACCACCAATATTCCAGGACTTCAGCTTTTCCTGCCTTCTTCCAGCCCCCATAGGCTCACAACAAGCTATGATTAGACAAGAATAAAGAGCTATGGTGTGCACTTACACACAAGGGTGACAAAGGATAATGAAGCTATACTGGATATTTCCAAAAGTTAGGAAAAATTACTTTGAATGTTCTCACCATAAATAAGCAATAAATTCTTGAGGAAATAGATATGTTTGTCTTAGTTTTAACATTGCACAGTGTATGCATGGATCTAAATGTCATATAATAAGCTCAAATAATTTTTAATTTACTGTTAAATCCAGTGGGGAAACTGGAGATAAGGAAGACTATGTCTGGAGTACAGGACATCCTTTAAGGCATTTCTTGGTATCATAGTGTCCTCTGATTAAAGTTGTTGGTCAATTACATCAACATAATCCAGACAGGATGACAAAGTGCTCAGACCTTTCAGGGATGAAAGTATGGGTCACTCCACCAGGAAAAGTCAAGACCTGCTGAGGTGCTTGCTGAGGGTGGAGGAAATACAGAATGCAGAGCAGAGGAAGCCAGTTATGTGAATATTAGCTTAAGTCATATAACCAGATGCAAAAATGGAGACGGTAATTCACGAGTGTTTCTGTCCTAGTTTGTGTTTCTGAGAGTTGTAGTTTCTTTTCTATATTTTTATATTGCTGAATGTAACACCAATTAAAGACAAATCAGTAGTTGAGCGTTGCAAGTCTGTATTATTATATTCAAGTTATGTGACACTAAAAGATTAAACATTCCTCAAGGAACTTGACCATTTTTTTCTACAATACATATTGTGCCTGTGGTTATAATTGGAATAGTGATATGATGCTTACTAGAATTATGGTCTTGTTTTTATTTTCTTTGGAAAGTAAACATGACATAAGGAGATGTGATTGGGTATCAATTTGATAAGGGGTGGGCTTGTGACGGTTCATATTGGTGTCAACCCGACTAGATCTGGAATCAACTAAAATACAAGCTGTTGGGCACCTCTGTAAGGAACTTTGAAGTGGGAAGACCCACCCTACATCTAGATGCCACATTTTGTTGTCAGTCCAGATAAAAGGAAATTTGTGGTTGGTTTGAACACATTAATGACAAACTCCAGTCACCTGTAATGTGCCAGTGTCACATTAAGGAAAAAGATCAGAGCATTTCCTTTGGGGTCATTTAACCAAGACCTCCCAGATCTGAATTGTCACCCCCAACCCTGTATTCTATCCTCCATCTATCTGTTGCATGAGTCTTGAATCTATGCCTGGTAGTAGGCCATATTGTGAATCTCTCTCATAGCTTTCTATCTGTGTCTGTCTATCTGTCTGTCTGTGTCTGTGTCTAGGGGGGCAGTCCTAGCTGCCCAGACTAACCAAATCACCTACCACCCCAAACCACATTCAGGGCTTTGAGTTGGTCCATCCCAGTATCCACTCCACTTATGACCTGCCAGAGTGTGTGAACCCAACTGTGATCTGCTGGAGCGTGTGAAGCGACTGGTCCTGTGGAACCATAACCACAGGGTCTCCATGATTCCGGAGAGCAGCAGGATATTTGAGAGAAGTCTCAGTGAGGGTTCAGTGTTGATGGTGTACCAGAAGCCAGAGACCTGGAACTAGGCCAACAACTCACTGCAATGAGCATTTGCAAGTAGAGCTGAGTGGACAAAAGGGGTTTACTGTGTGACAATTGCAGCTCCCAGTGCCAC